TCAATTCGGTTTTCGATATTTGGGATCGGATCAGTTTGATTTTTTTGTGATGACGTTCAATCTACGATAACAAGCGCACGGTCTGGAATCTTTCCCCGGTGCTTCTACTAATATCATAAGTGACATATAATCACTTTCTTAAGGCTCAATGACTCCCAAATCTAGCATTGCCTGCATCTCAGCTCTGAGGGGCTCTTTCTAACGCGTTGACACATCGTATGGCCTTGAATGAACCGGCATATCCGATATTAGTTCTCTATCATGAGTGACGAGTGTAGTGTGATCTGGCCGGTTTATGAATAAATCCTGAAATTCTCCTAAGACCTTTCATAAATCTGCAACTTGGCTCGCGTCTGGTTCTGGCAGTTTCACAGAGACCTCAATTAATTCCTCTGGAGCAAGTGCTTGAGAGGGTACTTCAAGCTTCGGAATCTTTTGTAAGCGTATTTCCTTCCTTTCGCCAAGAGTGAAGCTGATCATACGCTCCCTCATCATATAGGGTTTTAGCAGATTGCAATGATAGATATTAGTGTTCTTTCCATGTCTCGAAATGGCATAATTTGTGTCCGTCAGTTTCTCTATAACTGTTGCAGGTCCTTCCCGGTGAACTTCTAACTTGTTTTTCCTTGGTGGTTTTAGGGCTATCATCTTCGGTCCAACCTGTAAATCCCGATGTCTGGTGTGACGGTCATAATATTCCTTAGCAGATATTTGTGCTGTCTTCATGTTTTCTGCCGCGATGTCCAGCACCGCGATGTGCTGCAGGGCGGAACACGTACTCAACAACTATGATGTCCTGCTCTGAACCCTCCCATACTTCTTTTATCATTCTTTATTGCGATCTCAACGCTCTCCCGTAAACTAGTTCTACGGGACTGAACCCTGTCGCTTCATGTGGCACTGTTCTTAAGGTGAATATGGTTCCAGAAAAACAGCTTGTGGTATCTGGAGTAACAGGCCGATGGGGTTCTTCGCTGGAACATCTTTATTGCAGGACTACCGGAGTACGACACATAGCCACGGGTGTGAGAGAGCGACAGGATAGCAGCGGGTGGTGCAAACGGTACGCTGGCTCAGATAGATATCGCGCCCAGGAACTGTGGCGCGAGACGCACGAGCGCGCGCTAGCTGTTGTCCGCTTATTGTGTCACCCATACAACACTCCCCCACACTTAGTTCAGCACAGTAACACCATTCGACGGCGTTCCAGTGCAATACTCACAAAGTAACACGATATGACAATTTAACAAAACTCGAGAATAATTGAAGTTCTGGAAAGTACAAAATACAAACATACGAAATACAAAATAATTACAGTTCGGAAAAACACAAAGTCCTCGTCTTTTTCTCTTCTTTCTCAAGGCGAAAACCTATCAGGCGCACGCCGTTGCCGTTCGGGATACCGGCGCTGAGTTTCTTGCGGCTGGGCTGGGGAACGACCGGAGACTGGAGTTGATTCCATGTCTTGTCCCTCTACCACCGGTGACCAAACTGGAGGCAGCTCGTTCACGAGTCCCCCTTGTCCTGGGGTTCGCGATGATGGCAGGACACTCGGTATCAGCAAACCACCTTCCTCCGCCTCTGGAGTAGAGCTCTGCCGCTACCGCAGGTGGTCTTGGTGTCGCCGCCACACGAAGGTCCCCCGCGGTGTAGTCACGCGAAGCCTGTAGGAGACTGGTCCGGATCTAGCCATGACGACTCCGTGCAACCACCTCGCACCCGGCCGGAAGTTCTTGACGTACACCTAATCACCCGGCACGAAGTGTCGGTGTTTGCCACCGTGCTTCACCTGTAGCACGTCTGCTTGCGGTGAACAGTTTCCTCTGCAGAGGGTCGCAGTCTGTCCAGACGGGTAGTGAGCCGCCGCCCAAGCGGCAACTCCGCAGGACTCTGAAGGGTTGTGGCGTGCGGTGTGTTCCCGTAAGCTAACAAGAAACTTGCTAGTCGACGAGACAGAGGCTGGCCCGGCATCTCTTTTCGTAAGGCCTTCTTCAGGGTGCGTATGAAACGCTCAGCCAGCCCATTACTTGACGGATGGTAGGGGGCTGTACTGACGTGCCTCACACCGTTCTCTCGCAAGAAAATCTGAAATTCTTGGGAACAAAATTGGGGCCATTGCCACTGACAACAACATCTGGCAGACCGAAATGACTAAACAGCTCCCTCAGCTTTTCAATAGCTGCTTCGGCCGATGTGCTGTTCATCCCAAAAACCTCGGGCCACTTGGATTGGGAGTCGACGCTCACCAGAAAATGACGGCCCTGGAAAGGTCCCGCAAAATCCAAGTGCAGCCTTTGCCACGGACGAGTTGGCCAGGACCACGGATGCAGCGGGGCTGGACCTGGAAGACTCTGCTGCTGTTGGCAGGTGTCACACGACCTGATGCGATATTCAATATCCGTATCGACCTCCGGCCACCATACATAGCTGCGTGCCTGTTCTTTCATCCTTACAATTCCAAGATGCCCTTCATGCAGCTCGTCCAGTAGGCTTTCGCGCAGTCCCTGAGGGATCACAACCCTCATTCCCCACAAGAAGCAATTCTGGTGCCACGTCAGCTCGTTTCTTCTTGCAATGTAACGCTTCAGACAATCTTCTACCTTTGCGGGCCACGCACCGGCAAGGAACCTTGCCACTTGACAGAGCTCTTTATCTTTCGCTGTAAATTGTGCGATCTCTTGGCTGCTTGCCGGAAAAGACTGCAGGCGAAGACTGAGGAACGCCGCGACGTCAACCTCGCAGTTTTTATCCTTAAACCCAGGAGCTGGAAGTCGCGACAAGCAGTCCGCCTTCACGTTGAGTCGACCCGGTCGGTAAACCAATCGGTACTCATAGGCGCAAAGGGTAATAGCCCATCTCTGCAGACGTGCGGCAGCAATGCTCGGAATTCCCGGCTTTGGACCAAGAATGGTTTGCAACGGTTCGTGATCAGTGACCAACACGTAGGGTCGTCCAAACAAGTAGACGTGAAATTTCTTCACGCCAAACACAATAGCCAGTGCCTCCTTTTCTAGTTGGCTGTAGTTTTCACTCGATGTCAAGGTTCTCGACGCAAACGCGACAGGCCGTGTGTCGCCGTTGGAGTACACCCTGGACCGGACGGCTCCGAGACCGTATGCCAAGGCATCACATGACACCTGAAGGTCTACCTTGGGGTTGTAGTGTGCCAGGACAGGTGCGTCAACCAGAAGCCTCTTCACCATGTGAAAAGCGTCTTGACAGCGCTTGCTCCAGGTCCAGACGACATCTTTTTTTAGTAGCTCGTTCAGCGGCGCTATTGTGGTGGAGAGGTCAGAGAGGAACTTTCCGTAGAATGTCACCATTCCCAGAAACGACCGTAACTGCTTTGAGTCTTGTGGTTGAGGTGCATCGAGGATCGCTTGCACATTTTCTGCCAACACAGCTACACCTTGCTCGCTGACTTGGTGCCCCAGGAGCTTCGAAATTGCCTTCAAGAACTCGCACTTTTCTTTCTTGACTCGGACGCCCATCTCACTCAATCTCTTTATGACTTGCTTCAAACTCTTGAGGTGATCCCCGGCGGTCTTCCCTGTTACCAGGATATCGTCGAGATAGCAGGTTACTCCTTGAATTCCCGCCAGCAAGCTGTTCATTATCTTTTGAAACAGTGCTGAAGCTGAAGTGATGCGAAAGTCAAACGTTTGACGCGGAAGAGACCCTTGTGCGTGTTGATTGTCAGATAAGGTTTCGACGCAGGGTGGGCCGGAACTTGCTGGTATGCACGGCTTAAGTCTATTTTCGAGAAAACAATCGCCCCAGGTACCGTTGCTAGAATATCTTGCAACCTTGGCAATGGGTACTGCTCCACGTCCAGGCAAGGGTTTACCGTTGTTTTGTAGTCCCCGCAAAGGAGTGCAAACCCATCCTTCTTCAAAACCGGGACAACTGGTGTAGCGTAGTAACTATGGGCCACCGCTTCAATGACACCTGTCGCCTCTAGTCCCTTTAGCTCTTCTTCTACCGCTGGCTTCAGTGCGAACGGCATACTTCGAACTTTCAGAAACTTTGGACTCGCACCTTCCCTTAAGCTTAGCCGCGCCTCTTCCCCTTGCATGTATCAGAGCTCGTCCTTGAACACCTCCGGGTAGCGTATTTGGATGTCTTGGAGAGACGCTTTTACATCAACGCTGACCGCGTTTAGCGATCCCAAGTCAAACTTGAGCTTGTAGACCCAGTCCCTGCCAATCAAAGGTGGCCCGTCTTCTCCCAGTACGTGAAGGGGAAGTTTTCCTTTGAAGTCTCGATACTCTACGTCCGGCGTCGCCACTCCTTTTGGCTTGACACGCTCGCCGGTGTACGTGCGCAATATTAGTGACGGGGAGCCACAACGGAAACATTTGTCCTGAGCCCCCACTACCGCTTTCGGTTTCACCGCCGTCAGTTTCTGCAGTTCGAGTTGGTCGTTGTCCGCCTTATTATGACACGCCTGCACATTCATGGTGGCTCTTTCCATAGTTAACACTTTTTCCACAGCTTTCTTGAATGTCAGGCTCTCATCCTCGGCAAACAAAACTCTCTGAATGTCAACACGACTAAGTCCGCTGACGAACCTGTATCTGAGAGTTTCTTCCAGGTTACTTCCAAAATTGCACGTCTGTGTCATTTTTTTGAGCTCGGCGACATATTTTCCGACCGACTCCCCTTCATGTTGTTCCGTTTCATGAAACGTTGTCCTTTCTGCGATGACCGACGGCCACGGCGACAAGTGGTTTCGCAAAACGGCCAGCAAATCTTCAAAACTCTGTAGTGCCGGGTCCTCAGGCGCTACTAGAGTCTTGAAGAAGTTATACGTGTCAGCTCCTACGGGGCTTATGACCACGTCAACTCGGTTTGCGTCCGCTACCCTATTCGCTCTCAAAAAGGCTCGCAACCTTACCTCGTTTGATAACCAATCACACTCCGTGTCATCGAAAGGTTCGAAGGTTCGACTTGCCCGAATAAAGCAATCCTGACTGCCTTCCGGTCCTCTGGTCCTTGATTCAAGATGCCAGATACTGGAACGTCAGTTGAAGAGCCCTCAGTTGCTGAGTCGTCCGACGGTCTCTGCATCCCGCTGTAGCAGCGAAATCCGTGTCCTCGTCGCCACTGTGTGGTATCTGGAGTAACAGGACGATGGGGTTCTTCGCTGGAACATCTTTATTCCAGGACTACCGGAGTACGACACATAGCCACGGGTGTGAGAGAGCGACAGGATAGCAGCTGGTGGTGCAAACGGTACGCTGGCTCAGATAGATATGGTGCCCAGGGGGGCTATGTTGCGCTTTTTGGACTCCCAGGAGACTTGGAAGAGGGAAGTGACGTCAACGACTAGAGCAAATGCAGATTGGATGTTGAAAGAAGAAAACGAAATCAACACCCAATCTGCGTTTGCTGTGTCGTTGAGGTCACTTCCCTCTCCCTAGTCTCCTGGGAGTCCAAAAAGCGCAACATAGCCCCCCAGAAACTGTGGCGCGAGACGCACGAGCGCGCGCTAGCTGTAGCCCGCTTATTGTGTCACCCATACAACACAGCTATCTCAATCTTCTGCATGCTCGAGACAAGCAGCACGTACCATTCGCATGAACACAGAACGGCACTTCTCTACACTCTTTGTCTGTGGGTGGTACACCCTGTAAAAAGCGATCGGACCAAAAAGAGGCATCAGAGTTCCTTATCGTAAAAAATATATTTTAAATGCCTCTGGGTTAAATCCTGAGATATACGGTAGTTCAACAAATAAAGCAGAGCAGGTGCACCACAAACACATGCACACTGCAGGTTTAGCGTAAATCAAATTGCGCCACCGACAACCGCCGCCGTTGAGAAATCTTGAGCAAAGTCACGCTGTCTCAGTTGCAGAAAGTCGACCGCTGATATCTTTTTTTCCAGATAAACCATAATGTCATTGGACAAATATATCAATAGATGTTGTCATTCGCTTTTTATTAAGGAAATCCCAGAATTAGTGCTCAAGGGGCATTGCAGTGCAGCTTATAGAAATAAACATCACAGAACATCTCATCTCATCTATTACGAACAGATTTATTTGTAGCGGGCATCGGCCAAGCACGACCGAGCAGCATGGTGGAGCTGGCTTCACGTGCGAATAAAAAAGGACACGCACTGTTCCAACCAGCAGCAGCACCCATGTCCACACGGCCATAGTTGCAGTCGGTCCTTACTATCTAAACGGTACATGGTGTCAGAAGTGTGAGAACTTTTCTTACAAAGGTGAGAGTTGAGATTTCGCATGGCTGAAATGAAGCAACCATAATGACTACGGCTATCTGAAGATGCTGCCGAGAACTGGAAGCTGTTAAAGCAACGGATGGAGCTACACTTCGCAGCCACGGCGACTAAGGAGCCAAGAACGAAATACCAAAAGGCTGCAATCTTCCTACACATTGCCAGTAAAGATGCTGTCGACGTGTTCAACACATTCCAGTTGACAGAAGAGGAGAAGAAATCTATGATGTGTTGGTGAACCAGTTCGAAGCATAATGCCCCCCGAGGGTCAACAAAAACTACGAGGGATACATCTTCTGAACAAGAGTCCAGGAGCCTGGAAAAGGTTTCGAGATTTTCTTCTTGACCTGAAGACGAAGACAAGCACCTGCAACTTCGGAGATTTGTCTGATTCGATGCTGCGTGACTAAATTATATATGACACTTCTAACAAAAAAACTTCGAAAAGGGTTCTGCAAGAAAAATATCTGACCCTTGTCAAGGCAGTTGATTACTGCAAGTCCACCGAAATATCCGAGCGCCAGAGCAAAGTCTTCGAGCAGCTGGAACGAAAATTCGAGCCCGTCACTCGTAACAAAAAGCGCCAAGCGAGGAGAAAGTGCAAGTACTCCAGTTTTGTTCATGCTCCCGGCACATGCCTAGCATGTGGCAAGATTTGCGACAGAGTGTGGAATAAGGAATCACTTCGCCAAGGTATGCCAGCTCAAAGAAATTTGTTGACAACGTGCTAGATCCAGCAACGAGCTCGAACGAGGAGACCGATGATTTCAACATTCTAACCTTGAACGGAAAACGACTATAGAAAGTGACTGGATCACCACCGCGAAGTCAGGCGGCCACGACGACCGCTTAAATGTTGACACCGTTGCCCACACAAATTTGCTACCACTCTCGATGTTCAACAACACCGGTGCACAGTTCCGCCACTTTACGTTCTTACGGAAGATTACCACTGGAGCACGCTGAAAAGGTTTATCTTCAAATTCAGATTCACAGACGAATAGGTCGACTTACCTTCTTTGTCATGAAGAAAGGGAAGCAGGCCCTTCTCGGCCTTGAAACCTGTGAACAGTTTGGGTTAGTTAACCGAGTGTGCTCGATAAGTGACCAAAAAGGCCTCAAGCAGCAAGTGACGTCTTAATTCCCAGGATTGTTCCAGGGCCTCGGAAGAACCAAGAGGGAGTGCAAGATGGTACTCAAAGAAAACTCACAACCAGTAGTTATGCCAGCCCGACGTGTTCCACATGCTTTCAGGGACCCCTTGATAGCTCAGCTTGAGAGGATGATCGCAGGCGGAATAATCACCAAGGTTCAGGAGCCGACTGACTGGGAAAGCCCTTTGGTTGTAGTAAAAAAGAAAAACGGGAAGATCCGTGTTTGCATGGACGACAAGCACGAAAATGCCACCTTGTAAGAGAACACTTTCCTTTGTCACGTCGAAAAGATATCAAATGAGAATTCAAAGCCGCAAAATATTTCAGCAAGTTAGACGCGTATAACGGATTTCATCAAATTTCAATTGACAGCTACACATCCCATATTTGTACATTTGCGACACCCTTTGGGCGCTATGGTTATCTGAGACTTCCTTTCGGCATTGCTTCAGCACCCAAGGTTGTTCAGAAAGCCATGAGCCAAATATTTGACGATCTCCCAGGTGTCAGAGTTTATATTGACGACGTTATTGTTTGGGGCTCTTCGCGTGAAGAGCATGATTTGCGTCTCAGAGCAGCCCTGAGAGCTGCCAAAATCAGGCGTAATAGCACTCAACGCTAAGAAATGCCAGTTTGGTGTCCAAGCTATACGCTACCTTGGCGACGGCATAAGCAGAAGGGGAATCACTTAAGACCCTTATCTTGATAGAGTGCCTTCAGGATCACCCACTGCCCAAGGACAAGAAAGAGGTTCAACGCCTTTTGAGAGCTGTTAATTACTTCAGAAAGTTTTTTCCTAATATATCCTATTGTAAAACTATGCTTAGAGCCTTGATCAAAGAAGACTCAGTCTCCGAGTGGAGCAGTGCCTATACACTCCGTGCGACGCAACTGGCGCGCCGCCGCGCGGCTGTTCCCGAAGGTAGGCAGTGAGAACCCCAGAGAAAACGAAACCCAAACCACGCCACGTACGTTGGTACCAACGAGGTAGAGGGGCTTAGAGTGATAAACCGGAAGTTCGGAAGTGGCACCCCCCCGGTTGCCGCCATATTTTACGCAAATGTGACCACTCGTCACGTGACCTCCCAAGAGCCGTGACGTCACAGGTAAGATGGCAGCGCCCAGAGCTGGCGGATGCGAGTTTGTTCGGTGCGCGGTAGCCGTGATGTGCAGCTGCTTTCCGACGACTTCGGGCTTCTTCGTGCTCGCTGACGCAGGTATAATGTGAAAATATGAAGGAATGAGACTTTATACCGTTTTTGCGCAAGATCGCTCTGGATCATCTGGATATTAACGTTTGTGAGACAGCATCAGCTCTGCATCGCCGTACCGGTGCTTGGATTCCGGGATGTGTCCAAGGATCGATAGAACTTTGAGTGCTTTTAACATGAAATTTTTGCATTCTCTTAGCTTTGTTTGAACGTTGAAATATCTGAGAATCTGCGAAAAATGTATACGTCGCGTTAGGGCCTAAGGGAAGTTGTTTCAGCCCTCCGTCACCGAACAACCATAGCAACTTTTAGCGAGGAAGCTCCTGCGATTTTAACCTTTCGTGCTAATCCACGATTCTACATTCGATCGCTTTTCTTCCTTTTTTGTGTGTGTGTGTGTGTGAGTGCGAAGTGCATCCTTATTTTCAGCTACGAGGTTGGCGTTGTATTGAGTATGGGGAAGAATAAATCGTTGCAGGCACCTGCTTCAAAGCTATTCGACTTGCTATAAGAACAACTGTTTTGGTGCATGCATAGATTAACTGCGCATTTTTTCTGTTTTGTAGGATTTACTGCAGCTATACTCTTTTCCATCAAGAGTGCATTGTATTAGTCAGTCAATTATTTAATTGTTCTAATTACCTGGATGACATGCTTCATCTTTGTGTTCATCTCTTGCCTAGAGAGGAGTCTTGTTGAAAAATGTTGACTACCATTCCTTTCGGTCTCTTCAATAGACTCTTTTTAAAAGTGTGGGCTGTCTATACTTCGCATCACCGTAACTTGGAAAAGGCCAACCGCCACAGCCCCCTCGAGCCAATCAGAGACGGAGCGAAGGTGTGTGACAAATCTGTGCAGATGAACACTCTGGTGATATGCTGTCATGTGCCTCTCTCCAATGTGTGTATTGACTCACCGAGACTGTAGCCTTTGCCATCTGCCAAATTCTGATGAAACAAATTACAGTAGCTACTACTGTAATTACCCCAGGCTTTCATACTTTGGGTATTTGTTCGACAAGAAGGTTATGTCCGCCATCCCTGTGAATTCGGCTCAGCACCTATTGGACTCGAATGCTGCATTGGCGTTCGACGTGAACTGGGGCCCATTCGTGTGCTTTGCGCCGAAAAAAATGGTGACGGTTACATATAGGAAGTGTCATGCTATATAACATACATATAGGAAGTGTCATGCTATATAACATACATATAGGAAGTGTCATGCTATATAACAATGCATCAACACATACTATTGAACTATATGCTCAGGGGTGTGTTTGTTTTTCCAATTAATAAGTTACAGCAGTGTGCTTTAATGCTATTATCATGTGTGTAGTTTTAAGTATCCCCTCTGCAATGCTTACGAAGGCCCCTGGAAGGAATAAATTAATAAATAACTTTTTCACATCACTGGAGTTGGTTTTCGGATGCACCGCATGTTCAGGAAAGGTTGAACGAGTGCATCCCCTTGCAAGAAGTCTGCCAGTCTGGTATGACCCCTTAATTA